TCATGCTTAAGATATTTTCTCAGGTTTGACAACTAGGCCACGATACTCCCAAGTATTTGCCTCATCTTCTATATGATTATGACCCATCAATCCTCATATTCATATCTCAGGGAGATTTGGAGAAAAGTTCTGAGCACAACTCTCCCCCAGTGCCTTTGGTCCAGTGGAGAATACAGTTAAGAGAGAGGTGAAATGTTCCACTGGGGACTGCAAGTTTCTGTCCTCCCGTGTGGAGTCTTGTCACCTGTCTACAGACACTAAAGTTAGAGGCCTACTGAGAGATGAACTACTGATGCCTTATCCTTAAAATTCTGTCACCTCTGCTCAGGTGCACCAAATCTTTCCACACATCCCAAAAGGTAAGTGGATCTGTAATCCAGGGATGGAGAATTAGATGGGTGAGCTGGGTCTTAGGCAGCGGGTGAGGTCTGTCAGTGAGGAGTTTGGTGGACCCAGACGAACAGTCCAGCTCCAGCCATCATACAACTCTGAGGAGGTTCATTCAGCAGTAAAATGAGAAATTCTCTTCTAAGTTCATTTAATGCTTTTATTTAATGACTCGTAAAAGTAGTAGACTTTTTCAGATGAAATACTGAGGTAATTTGAAGTATGCATTGTTTCATTGAATTAAGAAATGCTGATTTACTACCTAGATCCATTTTAAAGAAGATATTATCTAGTCATTTTAGGATAAATCTTTAATATTTGCATTTACACCTTTATGAAGAGAAATTTTCATTATGATTCTTCACTAGATATTCTCAATTGTTCTATTATCTCTATAAGGCAGTTAAAACTTTCATTGAATAAGTTACCCCTGTAATTCAATTTAGTTAACATATCTAACTTGTTTAATATTTGATGGGGCTCTTTGTTCAAAGGATTTAGATATCCAGAGAGTTTAGCCTCATTCTTATAAAATAGGTATCAACATTTGGTCTCACTTGCTTCTTATAAAATAGGTATCAACATTTGGTCTCACATCCTTTATTTCATAAATATCAACTTAATGCTTTGAACATTTCACCCAGGACTGTACCTATTAGAAAATACAATTTGAGTGCACAAAAAAATGGTTGGCAAGGGGTCAGGGATATAGCTCAGTGGCACAAGTGCCTGCCTGGTAAGGAAAAGTTCATGAGTTTGATTCCAGGTCAAAAAAAAAAAAAGGGGGGGGGTGGCATTGATATTAAAAATAAAAAAATCAAGGAATGACAACACAAATTTCCCCTGTTGCTCTATAAATATTCTAATAATACAATCTTACAGATTTTGGTGAAGAGACTATAGTTTCACTTCATATATTTCCATGTATCCTCATTTTTGGAATACTTTATAAGCTTTAATTTATAGTGATTTGTGAGAACTGATTACTTGAGAGGAAAGATTAATGGAATTAATAATTATTAATAGAACAAAATATTTTAGCTGCCTGATCTCTATAAGTGGGTGTTAGATTCCCTACCATCCTACCATCTTGTCTAGTGACACTGTATTATCTCTACTGTTTTATCGAAGAATTATTTCCTTATTCCCTATAATGGTTTGAGCAATCTTTCATTCTTACATCTGGTAATCTGAGCAATGTAGTTGAGGATAGTGATATATAATATAACAACCACTGTTGATTTGTATTATTTTGTCTTGAGACCCTATATCACTTTAAATGTTCTTGCTTTGATTTATTTATATTTGTGATACTGGTATGCTGCTACTGTTCTATTTCTTTGTTTGTTTCTCATTTACTACTCCTTTTAAAATAAAATTTTTTTAAAAAAATGGTAAAGATTCTCTTTTCACATTTTTCCTCCCTTCGTTTATCCCTATCCTGCCCAAAAGGCTTTTTCTCCTTCTTTCCAAGTGTAGCTTTCCAAACGGGAGCTACTTCAGGCCTTTTTCTTCTGTTACTTTTCTTTCATTTTTTCATGATTTGTTAACCTAACTTCTCTTTAGGGGAGTCCTTTTTCTTCCAGTGTTAAGTGAAGTTTTTCTCTTTAGTTTGTTAGGTCAGCCAAGTTCCTTCACAGCATTGTCACTACTAAGAGTTGTGTTGCAGGAAGTTCTAGGTCACCTTGCTGATGCTTAGAGTTCCTGTCCTTTCCTCAGGTCTTTTGAACTGTGTTGTACTAGGCAGGTATGATTTGGATTAGGCATGGCTGTGAGGTGTCAAGCTGAAGAATTATTATTTACCTTTGTTTCATGAGATGTCTATATTCTTCAGAAGGTATTTTCCTATAAAGTAATGTATTCCTATAGATATATCTGTATACCTTTGTTTTATTATTTATATACACTACAAATATATTTGGGGTATGTGTTCAACACAGTTTTATGTAATTCATAACACTTTGAGATAGCTGGATGATTTGCCATATTTTTTGTCATCTCTCCATGGAGCTAACATAAATGGCTGATCGTGGCTGCATCAAGTTTTGCCACTTTCCTTGATTACTGCTCTGAAGGATCATCAACTAAAGAAAATTTACCAGTTTCAGGCAATGCCCCACTGATCTCAAGATACCTCAAACATTATCTTACCCTGTGGTAAGTGCACACCCCTACAGTACCTTTGTCATTTTCTTAGTAGGACCACACTTGCCTAAATAATCATAAAACAATATACTCCTATCCCATCTGCTCTTAGAAGATTTGAATATTTTCTTTGACCACTTTTAGAATGTTATTTATTGTTTGATTCAACTTCTTAAAGCAACATTAAACTATAGCTTGATTTTCAAAAAATCACATGAAAAGACTTTTTTATTATAAAGAGAATTAAAAATGATAATAAAATAACAACAACATAGACAAAAACAAAATAAAGCAAAAACAATAAAAATGATACAGGTTTTCAAAACAAAATGATAGGAATTAACAGTGATTGTTGTATTACTTATTGTTATCTTCAATGAAGTTGCTCAGATTACCAGATGTAAGCATGCAAAATTGATCAAACCATTAAAGAGTATAAAGAATAAAGAAGAAAAAACATTAGAAATGATACAGAGCTTCACCAAACAAGATGGTAGGAATTCACCAGTGGTTGTTATATTGTATACTGTTGTCCAAAAATTAGTTGTTCAGATCACCAGATATAAGCATACAAAATTGGTCAAAAGAATTTTAAACATTAATTGTTCCTCTCAATAAAGCAGCAGACATCAGCAGTATAGTCATCCCAGCTATCTTTCTATATATATTTTCCCTTCCTTCTTTCTTTCTTTTCTCCTTTCCCTCATCCCTGTTGTTTCTTGCCTTAAGCAATTTATTTCCCTTTCATAATATCTATTGCACAATTGAGTTTCATTTTCTCTTTCAGGTTCTTATAACAGGGAGAGAATATGATGTTTACATATGCTGGTCTGATTTATTTCACTTATCAGTAAGGTCTCCAGTTGCATCCTTTTACCGATAAAAGCCTTGAGTTTATCTTTTTTTTTTATAGTTGAGTAACACTCTGTTGCTTAAAAGTACCACATCTTTTTTCATCCGTTCCTCAGTAGATGGACATTTGGATTATTTCCAAGATTTAGCTAGGACAAATTGTGTTGCTATAAACATGGGTGCCATGATGTTTTTAATTCTTCTGAAAATACCCAGAAGGGGAATACTTGGGTTAAATGGGAACTCTAGTCTATTTTTTGTGGGGGCAGGTTTCTTCCAGTACCGGGAATCAAACTTATGACCTTGCGCTTGCCAGGCAGGCGCTGTGCCACTGAGCTAAACCCCAGCCCTTCTAATCTATTTTTTATCTATGTCTTCTTTTGATATGCTGAGTAATTCTTTCATTATAATTGTCATTTCTTTTTTATCTGAAAGATTATTTCTAATCTGATTTCTTCTATGGCCTGATGGGAGTTATTTCTTTACTTCAGTTGCTATCATATCAGACATTTCAGGTTTATGACTTCCAAGCTCTTCTGTGTCATTGTCTCCTGGACTTCTTCTGGGTTGGGTGGAGGTCTGAGATTACATTTTGCTCCTTTGTTTCGTCATTTTCAAAGATCTGGAAGTTCCCTGGAGCTCAGCCTCACTCTCGAGATTGTGTATGAGTGTCGGGGGAAGGAGGAAGGTCCCTGCGATGGGGGTGGGGGTGGGGGTGGTCACCAATGCTCCTGAAGCTTTCCTGAAGCTAGCTTAGCTCCCATGCTGGTGGAGGAGTGGTGCGCACTGTCACTGAGGCTTCCAACGCTGTCTGGGGCTCAGTCCCACTTCCGTGATGCGGGGTGCGGGTAGTCACGGAGGCTCTCAAAGCTCTCCGAGGCCCAGCTTGGCTCTAAAAAGACAAATCTTGAACTCATTTTTAAAATTATTTTATTTCATTCTTTTAATATATATATTTATACATATTATCTCATTCTTTTAATATATATTTACATATATATTAAACGAATGTGTGCTGTTACATATCTCTTAACATTATTGATTTTAATATGATTTGTGTAAATTTTGAAACTTAAATGAAATAGATTATTTAGAAAGAGGTGCATGTTTTGTATAAGTATAAGAAATATAATACCCTATACTGAGCTGTATTTTATGACATAATGTGATGCAAAAAGTTCACTGGCAGTGAGATAATAAGATTTAAATGTTTTGTTCTTCTTGGGTACATCATACAACACCTTAATTTGCTGCATTTATGAATGCAGATACACAGACAAATAACACAGTGGATTGAACATTGACATCTAAAGATGGGCAAAAAAGTATAAAAATATCTTCTAAAATACAATAGTATTCTTACAGAGGTATTATGGGAGTCCACCATGGAGCCCCATAATACATCTATGATGGGTAAGTGGAGGCCAAGGGACAGGGCCATGCAGAATCTAAGAGGGTGCCAGTGAAGGTGACTACTGAAGTGGAAAAGGACACATGGACATGAATGCACAATTTGGTGAACTGTCGTTGGTTAAGTTTGAACAAAGAGGTGATATTGTGATAATTTTCTGTGCTTTTTTCTCAGGTAGCTATGATATAATTCTTTCTCCATGAAGATGATTAAAAACAGCAAAATTTTCAGGTTTATTGACATACAATATGTGTTTTTCTTTGAAGTCAGCATTGGGATCATAGCCAACACAATACTGCTTCTCTTTTACATCCTCACATTTCTTCTGCAGCACAGACTCAAGCCCACTGACCTGACCATTGGCCACTTAGCTTTTGTTCACATTGTGATGCTGGTAACTTTGGGCTTCATAGCCATAGACATTTTTGGATATCAGGGTTTAGGGGATGACATCGCATGTAAATCTGTTATATATTTGTACAGGGTGATGAGGGGCCTCTCCATCTGTACCACCTGCCTGCTGAGTGTCCTCCAGGCCATCACCCTCAGCCCCAGAAGCTGCTGTTTGGCAAAGTTCAAACAGAAATCCCTGCATCAGAACCTGTGCTGCTTTCTGTGCTTATGGGTCTTCAACATGCTTATAAGAGGTCGATACTTAATCTCCACTACTGCCACCCCTAACATGACTTCCCATAACCTTATGTTTGTCACTCATTCTTGCTCCCTTTGGCCCATTAGTTACGTCCTTAAGTATATAACTTCCTCCTTGATGATTTTCCAGGATATTTCTGTTGTAGGACTAATGGGGCTCTCAAGTGTGTACATGGTGATTCTTTTGTACAGGCACAGAAGACAGTCCCAGCATCTTCACAGAACCAGCTTAGCTCCAAAAGCATCCCCAGAGCAAAGGGCCACTCACACTATTTTGTTGCTCATGAGTGTCTTTGTTGTCATTTATGCTTTGGACTGTGTTATTTCCTCCACATCCGGAGTGTTCTGGAAACCTAACCAGATTCATCACTGTGTCCAGATGCTGATTGGCAATGGCTATGCCACAATCAGTCCTTTGGTACTCATCAGTACTGAAAAACGAATGATCAAATGTTTAACATCCATGTATTGGAAAAATGGTGAATGCTTGTTTATTGGTGATGACAGTTTCTCTGACAGTGGGAAATTATTTTAAATTTCTCTTCAAACTTTGACATATACAGAATTATGGTTTCACTTTTAAACATATTTATTTTGATATATTTGGCAGAGAAGTATAGAGAAATTAATTTAACAGTATAACTTTGAAGAAATACAGGTTTTAATTCTTATCATACACAAAGTACTAGAACTCTCACTTAGTTTCAAATTCCAAAGAATATGATCCATCATTGCTTTTCTGGATTAGTTTAGGATGATATAATAAGCCTACAGAATGTATTACAAATCTGCAGAAATAATTTGGAGGGCTTCTCTGTTTACATTTTTATACATGCTATATCTGTTTATATTTATCATTGTGCATGTTTTCACATATTGTTTATTTTATTGCAGTTTCTCCTAACAAACCTATTTTTTAAAAGGAATAACAGAACCTTAAACCTAGATAGGCATTTAGATGACTTTCTTAAATTTTTAAATAGCATGTATGTATATATCTATGTGAAGTCAGTATAAAAGTAACTTTGTATGATTAGTCATTATATTTGACTTAGTATAGGTTGAAAAATATGTCTACAACTTCCATAATGCTGTCTTTAAGGTATTTATTCTCTATGTTATACAAAAATATCAATTCATAACTGCAAAGGGCAATAAGATTCATTTTCTGGTCTCTTGCTTAATTTATATGCTCTTATAAAAATCTCCATTTTAAATACAAAATGGACTGAGTTACTTATAGGGAGAATAGGACATAAATTTAGATCTTCCACTTCATATTTTAATTTTGGAACCAGATAGTCAATAATTGCAACCATTATTGAATCATTTTAATATTATTGTGATTTTATTATGAAATTTTGATGTTATTTTCATCTTGAAAAATCAAATTAAATCACTTAATCATTATTCTTTTAAGACTAGAAAGTTAGGAACAGCAGAAAATATACAAAAGCCAGATTCAGAATATCTTTCAAAACACTTTTTCTGCAATAGAATGAATACCTGTGCGATATGATTCCGCGAATATTTTTCCTAAAAATGAACTGTGTAGAGAGTGTTGCTGTGGATGACATTTTGTGTGAAAATATCTGACTCTAAATTCTGAATAAAGTATATAAATATTTATTTAAAAACCTTGGGGTATTCACAAAAATAAGTGTACTTCTAGAGATTAATATAAAGCATTATCTAAAACCAGGACATGAAGAAATCCAAAAGGTGTACTAACCACAAGGCATTCAGAGGTAACTCAGGTAATCATAATTATGTGGTCTTATGAAGACAATTACAGAGGACCAGGAAGCATAGGGCATGACCAAGATGGCTAGCATAATGGAGATAACCACTTGCTTCCACATAATATGATGTACTTTGAGAAGTTACCCCTTGAGGGACCTTTGCTTGTTTTGCTATGTGTCCCTAGAACATGTGAACCTTAGCACACCCCAGAAACAAAGACTAAGACACTGGCTGGTTTAGGTTATATCAATTCACAAAGAAATTACTTTTAGAGATAATTTTACCCCTCTAACTATGGATAAGGCCAAGACATCATGTTCAGAAACTCATCCCCAGAACTGCTCCCTACTATATACTTCAGTGCTGTTTGACAGTCCCCATTTCTGAAATATTATGAATAAACCCTTGCTTCATATCCCTCTCACTTTCTTTTTTATTTTGGGGAACATCTTCTTTCTAATTTATATCATAAGAAACTGTGCAAACTAGGATTAGAGGTCCCATTCAACCCAGCTATTTCCTTTCTGGGTATTTACCAGAAGGACTGAAAATATACCACACGATATATGTACACGCATGTTTATAGCAATTTGTCATAACCAAACTTTGGAAACATCCCAAGTGCTCATCAACTGAGAAATGGATAAAAGGATGTGGTATTTTTATAAAATGGAGTATAACTCAGCTATAAAGAAAGATAAACTTAAAGCTTGTATAGGTAAATGGATACAACTAGAGAACATACTCATAAGTGAAATAAATCAGACCCACAGGTATAAACATCATATTGTCTCCCTAGAGTAACAACCTGAAAAAGAAAATGAAATCTGAAAGTACAATAGATATTGTGAAAGGGAGAGGAACTGCTCAAATGGAAAGAGCAACTAGGATGAGGGAAAGAAGAAAAGAAATAGGGAAGGGATATATATATGTATGTATATATATATAATCTTAGCTATCTTGTGTTTGTATATAAATATAAATAAATATGAATATTTTCTTTGTATATATATATATATATACACACACACAAACAAAAGATAGCTAATACAGTTGTACTACTAATTTCTATTGGTTTCTTGAAAGGAATAGTTAATGCTTAATTTTTTGACCAACTTTACATGCTTGTGTCTGATAATCTGAACAATTATTTACTCTTACTTTCTAAGTTCCTCATTCTGTGCTGCAGGGACCTTCCATTTCAAGTCAACCTCACCTCACTAATGCATTCATTCTGGGGTGAGGGGAAGGAAACAGGCAAGCGGAGGGTCTCTTCAACGATGGACTCCCTGCCTCCTAGGCTGTTGGAGCAGAGGAGAGGCTGTTAGGTGCTGAGAGAGGATGTTGGGAGCTGGTAGAAGCTGTAAGGAGCTGTTGGTTCTGTTGGAGGAGATTGTTATGCTGGCTTTCCTGATGAACTTGGCTGTTTTCATTCTCCAAGGAGCTCAAGACCTCATTGGCACTGACAGTGGCTTTGGTTCACTTTGAGGGAGCTCTGTTCCTCACCCTGAGCATCACTTCCTGGTTCCAGAGAGGAAGATGGTATGCTGCCAGTCTCCTAGAAAAGCCTGCTGCATTGGCTTCCCTGATGGGAACTTGGCCCTGTTGATCATTGGAGGAACTTGGGGCATCACTGCTGCTGAGGATGGCTGTGGTATCTTTCAGGGGAGCTCTGGCTCTTCTAAGTATCACTTCCTGGCTCCAGTGCAGACCCCTCAGCCTGCTAGCACAGATCCTTCATCCTGCTGGCACAGATTTCCTAGATTCCACCACTGACCTTTGGGCCTTCATAGCACAGATCCATGAAACAGGCCTGCATGAGATATTGTTATGGGCTCTGGGCTTCCAGCTGGACTCATGGCAGTCACTGTCATGAGCTCTAGGTCTTAAGCTGGACTCATGCAGGACATTATCATAGAATCCAAGCCCTCAGCTGGTTTCCTTGGTCTTAATGTGTGGACAGATTTCCGGCACTCTTTCTTTGGGTGACTATTATAAATAATCATATAAAATATGTGTCCTGTGTTGTATTGTACCCCTTGAAAAATAAGCCCCAAACCATAACAATAGCTATTCTTTCTGGGCTGAAATGAAATCTCAGTGTTGTTTTAATTTGCAGTTTTTGAATGATTAGTGATGTTGAACACTTTTTAATGTATGTATTTGCCATTTATATTTCTTCATCTGACAAGTGTGTAGTCATCTTAGATGCCTATTTTTTATTGGGTCTTTGAATTTGGGGGGCCTGATTTTTATAATCACTGGCTGCAATGCTGTCTTCAAGGTCTGAAAATCTACCTACAGTTTCCCTCAAGCAGGTTTTCCAGCTTTCAATGGAATTTTTAATTACCCAGGCATCTCCTTGAATCAGTTTCATGCATTGTAATTCTTTCTTATATTGTTCATCAAAGTTTTCCATCATTTTTCTGTGCTCCTCTATTTTTTGCCTGTTTTCTTTTGATATACTGAGTGATTCTTTCATTATGGTTGTCATTTCTTTTTTTACCTGAGATATCATTTCTGATCTGATTTCTTCTACAGCCTGATGTAGTTGTTTTTTTTTTTTACTTCAGTTACTATCATTTCAAAATTTCAGGTGTGTCTTCCAAGTTTTCCTATTTTGACGTCTTGTGTTCTTGACCTGAGTAGGGTGGAGGTTTGAGGTTGCATCTTGCTCTTTTGGCTTGACATTTTCAAATGTCCCTGTGTTTCCAGCGGGTCAGACTTGCTCCCACGATGGTGGTGGAAGGTGGAGCAACAAATTTAGCCTTTCCTGGGCAGCTCACTGAAGGTCCCTAGGTTTCCCTGGGGTCAGACGCATTCTGTGATGGCAGCAGGAGGCAAAGTGCGTCTCCTGGGAAGCTCACCAAACATCCTTGGGTTCTCGCTCTTTACTCTTTTTGATGAGGTTGCCTAACTGTTGATCAATTTTTTTTATTCTTTTTAAAATTTATTTTAAAAATAAAAGAAGGAAAACACGTTAACAAACAGATAACCATTTACAAAATAGCAAAAGAATGATACAAACAATACAGAGTTACAAAGTATCATATCACAGCAACATATGTGCACTATGTTCATAGCAGCACAATTAGTAATTGCCAAATTATGGAAGCCACCCAAATGTCCATCCACTGAGGACTGGGTAAAAAAATTGTAGTACTTTTACACAATGGAATATTACTCTGCTATTTATTCCTTCAAAGAACCAACTTTTCTATTCATTGATGCTTTATATTGACTTCTTAGTCTTTACTGAATTGATTTCTGCTCTTATTTTTATCATTTCTTCCCTCATTTGAGATTTGGGTTTAATTTGTTATTTATCTGGAAGTTTGAGGTTCAATATTAGGTTGTTTGTTTGATCTTGTTCTGTTTTCCTGATGTGTGAGTTTATTGCTGTAAATTTCCCTCATAAGACTGCTTTCAGTATGTCATATCAGTGTTATCATTTAATTGTACATAGGGTTTATTTTCATCTTTAATTTCCTCTCTGACCCACTGGTTGTTTGGACAGGTGTTGTTTAATTTCCATGTGTTACTGTAGTTTTTGTGGTTTCTTTTCTCATCGTTTCCAGTTTTAATTGAACTATGATTATATAGGATACATGAGATGATTTCAATTTCTCTATGTTTACTTAAGTATGTTTTGTCAGCTAACATATGATCTATTTTGGGGAACATCCCACGTGCAGCTGAGAAGAATGTGTATTCTGGTGTTTTGGGGTGGAACATTCTGTAGACATCTACCCAAGATCATTTGCTCACAGGCTGGGTTTAATTCTACTATTT